TTGCAGGCTTGAACTCTGCCAGCTCGCAAGGGAAAACCCACAGTTTCCCATGTTTTTTCTCATTTAAAGGAGAATCCATTTTTAACGTTTGTTGATCCATTTTGAAAGTTTGTTCATGACCCTTTCATATATTCTTGTGACCCACTTTTGGGTTGTGACCCACGGGTTGAGAAACTGGATTAGATGACCTCTTGAGGGCCCTTCCAGCCCTAATTTTCTATGATTCTATGTTAAACCAAGAACTTAGAAGCTTCCAAAGATGTTAATACTGTTGATGTCCCTGCAAGTTACTGTTGCAGTACTGTTGAAGTCCTTGTTGGCCATATCAAAGAAGAAATGTATGGTCCTTTTCCTAAATAACATGTCATTGAGTTCAGATGTGAAGTGATAAGTGAGGATAACACACAGAAGTTGGGAGCTCCCTTATTGGCAATGCCACTAACAGACACTGCCTATTAGATCAACGGATAGCTCGGGAATAGAGTTAAACCAAAAACGTGTCTTGGTAATATCAGTGGTATATAGCATGGTCAGAAGTACTGTTCAGATGCATGCATTTTTAGGAAGCTGGACAAGAAAAAGAAAAGAGGGATTGTTTGCCTTTAAATTCAATGGGATCTGGGTTTTCCTGATTGTTGTGACTGCGTGTCGCTTAGAGCAGATGCGACTTCCAAAAGTCAACTTTCTCTTTGGGCTAATGTAGGTGCCCCCTCGCCCACGCAGATCACTAGGGCTTTCACTGGGAAGAGTTGGACTGGAAAAAGCGTGCACGGCTGTTTACAGAAGGCAGGAAAGAATTTTACACCTTTCCCAGTGACGTTTGACTGCAGGAAAAGAATTTAACAGCTTGCGGCAGTGCCAATTAGAGCCAATTAGGGCTTGACTGACCCGCCTTGGCTCAGAGTGCATAGCAAAATCCTGACGCTGTTCTTTTTGAGATGGAAATTTAGCTTTTATGCACGTTCGACTTCGGAAGCTGACCGTGTGCAGCAATTGTACAGTTAGTGTTCAAATCTGGAGACACCCACACATTGCCTACCAAAGCCCCAGTGTCAAGCTATGAAGAAGACAAGGCAGCAGGGCTCTATATAGGCTGGTATTAGCCTCCAGCTGCCCACGTTCATCTCCTGGACAGGCAGTATTGTGCACCCTGCTGACTGCATTTGAGAGATTGCAATTGCTTCTCCTGCTCCTGGAAGAATCCCTTTGCTTTAACCATGCTTGTCTGGACACCTGTTCCTTCTCTCCTTTGGCCAGGTAGCAATGGCAGGCCATGAGATAACTACAATCAGAGATGAAATGCAGGAATCTGAAATGGTGACCAGCACAAAGGCTAGACACCAAGTACGGCCTATTTCTGTTTTTGGTAGTGTCTAGTCATGCATTTCACCTTCTAAGCTCCCTCCCTGTAAGATAAATTGCAGAGAAGATTATTTGTGTTGGCTTTCAGCACCCTCAGTTTCTTAGCACTCAGCAGGTTCAGAGCCTAAATTCTCTTTCCTGCTCCTCAGTTGCAAGATCATATACATGCCACAGCCACAAAATGTCCCAATTAACAGGTGAAACCATGTACTGCACAGAGCTGTGCATCACCTCATTTTATGAAAGGCACTAAATGGAAGAAGGGCTCATACAAGATGCTCAGGAACCAGAACAAGACAGTTGAACAGGTTCCCTCTCTTACCTCCAGACTGACTCTTTGCCTCTATAAAAACCTAGTGGAATTTGATACAAGGTCAACTTTATGGTGGAAAAGTCTGAGTCCATCATCAGAGAAATGAAATCCATTTATTCTTCTCCTTTCTTATTCTGTCCCCAGTCAGAAAACTATATAAGCTACTACTGTACTATATCTTCAAGGAGAAGGTTGTTTTGTTTAAGGTGACTGTGGTCTTATTCTACCCAGCATGGGGATGCATAACGGGCATCAAAGAGGTGGTTGCAGCTTACTGATTCTGTGCTGACTCAAGTTTTGAGTGGTCTGTGGACTGATCTAAAATTACCCCAGGGGTGCAGCAGTCCCAAAGGACATTACACAGACCTCCCTCTGGCATGCTTTTTACAGCAGTAGTAGTAGAGGGAACCTGGTACTTGCCGTTCTATTAGGCAAGCGCTCTGTGGATGATAACGAGAGCTAGAGCCCAACTGCTTTGTGCTATTCAGGCAAGAGCCTATTGGAGACTCTGACCAGCTGACTGTATGCAACACCCATTCTTCCTAAAGAAAAGTTGCACGTGCCAATGCTATAGTGATGAGAACCACACACAAACACACACACACACACACACACACACACACACACGCGCGCGCTCTCTCAAGTAAGTAACTACAAAACTGCCTTAATCCACCTATCTGGCTCCAAAAGATGAAGCCTGATCTGAAGTTAGGGTGCAGTGGCTGATATTATTGTGCTCTGCAGGCCAGAGGAGAGTGTCTGAGGATGGGGAGGGTGGAGAGAGAGACTCCATTCTGGTTGAGCGAAGGGGAATCACGTACATGCCTCAAAGAGAAACAGATTGGGAAGGGAAGAGCTTTGAAGAAAGTGAAAGTCAGGCACAGGATGCTGGGTCAGCTCATTTGATCTGACACAAGCTACGAAAAGAATAAAAAATAGGCTCATGTACGATACTTGGGAGCCAGAACGTGATGGTGTAACAGTCCTTTCCAAGCAGTTTCTATTTTGTTTTCTCTCTCTCTCTCACCCCACAGGCTTTTGGTAGCTTAATTGCTGGCATGCAATGTAGCTGCACCCGACCAGCTCCTCTCAGTGCTACAGACACAGGCTTCTTTGGAAAGTCATGTCTAGAGAAAGCAAAATACAGTGGCCAACAGCAACATACCATTTGGAAAGCCATCAGCAAGACTGACACGTGAGATGTTCACAGTGGACAGAACAATAAGAAATGGTGAGCGAAACCCTGAAATTGAGGTGTTATTTGAGATTTCATGTTCTTTCCTAAAGGTTTTCAACCAGAGACCAGTACAGTTAGGTGACTAGAAGGTTATTCACACCCACAGTGAAATCCTGGCTCTCTTTAAAGCCATGGGAGTTTTGCCATTGTCTTCACTGGAGTCATGCTTTCACTTCTTCTGTACCAATCACCCGTAGCAAGCTGAGCCACGTTAGTAAAAGGATGCAAACTGATCGTTCTCTTGGTTGGGTTCAGGTTGCACCCTTTAAGGGCATCAGTGCAAACGGGAAAGTTGTGCACCTTTCCAACTGGGCACAGCCTCTCCCAAACCTGTGCACAGGCCAAGACACTGTGGTAAGCAACTGCTGGAAGCAGCTTTCTGACATCGGCCGGCAAAGATATAAAAATGGGCTGTCTTCAAAAAATAAAAGTTAGGAAAAAGCAGACTCTCCGACATACTGAAGCAATAAGGGTAGTACGGAGATTTATAAGGAAAACTCAGAGCTCAGTCAAAAAAGGGCTGCCTTGGAATAGTCTTTTGTTTATGGTCAAGACGACTATCCAAGGAAAATATGAATGTTCACAGAAATGACATTATGCTGCATGCTCCCCTATCATCGCCCATAATACTTAAATAGCACTGCCCCATCGCCGGGAAAGCACCACAGCACAGGTCCT